TATATAGAATTTTAACATGATTGACGTCTTTTCTCGTTTATTCTGAGAAATAAAAGTTTTCATCTCGGCAAACATAAACACAGATACTGACGTGTCTCTAATCTGCGAGTGTTTCTGTTTCAGGAGCTCGTAACCAGCCGCTGGTGCAGCTCCAGAGGAAGTCGCTCCAGCTGCCGTCCAGCTCCAACTACACGGCGCTGTCCGCTGCCATGACCACGGCCAGGAGTCAGTACGAGATCGGTGGTTTCCCGTTTCTCTTGGGCCAAGAGACCAACAGCTCAGGTTAGAGGCCGTCTCAGAAACCACGTCCCTGAAGATGAGACGTGTCGAAGACAAGTTGAAGTCTGTGAGTTTTTCTGGTTCAGGTGCAGAAACCGGGTGGACAGACTTGACGGCCGTGGCGGTCGTCAGCATCCAGCTGTTCGACAAAGATGGCGCCGCAATCCAGGTCTCGGATCCGATCCACATCTCCGTGCCGCTGCCGTCCGACACCCGCAACAGGATGGCCATGAGCGTCCCTGCTTGGATGTATCAGCCTAAGACGGGTGAGAAAAACACGTATATAAAAACGGACTTTCCTCAAATATAAAGTTTGTACAGATTTTATGTCCAAAACTGTGAAGATCTGTGATAATTAACTTATTATTTCTGATGCATTAGTGTTTTATTATTTTTGAATCACTCTCATTCCATCATCGGTATTCAGTTTATTTCACATGTTCTTTTCTGGCACGAACGCGTCAGAAACCAGACATTATATTTATTATTATAATACATATATATATTGTTTATATTAACATCTCCAGGACTGTGGGTTCGGAACGGGACGGGCTACATCCAGAAGGACGGAGCTCAGTTGGTGTGGAACGTGGTGGTTCCTCAGATGGGATACTGGCTGGCTGCCTTCCCGTCCTCCTCAGGTGCTGGAACTCATCTCCTTCTGTTTCTTCTTCTGTGTTGTTGCTGCTCAGCCAGCAGACGTTTCTGTGTCTCCGGGGAAATCTCAGGAAACTCAGTAGGAAATGTTCTTCTCTGTAATGAAGCTCAGGAGTTATTAAAAGAACACTTCGTAGTATCATAACTCCTTTTTTTAAGAGGCTGCAGCGATGAACATATATACTATTTAAAATAAAGTTTAAAGGTTAAACGTGGTGATATTTTATATTAGTTTCTGAAATTCCCTATCCACTTAACTTATAGAATTTGCTATTCATCAATTCAAGCTACGACTAGTGAGCAAAGATCGACAGAAAAGATCCAACAGCGTGTGAATGTAAAGTTTCTGACTGATTTTTAGACGCCTCTCTATCGTGGGTTTTCTTGCAGGACTGGGTCTGTCTCACCCGGGCCTGAGGGACATCACCACCTACCACACCCTGTTCCTGCTCTCCATCCTGGCCTCGTTGGCCCTGCTGGTGCTCATCCTGCTCTGTGTGCTGCTCTACTACTGCAGGTGTGGGGAGCGTAGGCGCAGGTCTCTGGGTCTAGGTTTCTGTCACTTAGATTAGAGTCAATCCGCAGGACGACAAAACGTTTTTCGTATTATTTTTTATTGAGTTTCTCTTTCGATTTCAGGCGGAAGTGTTTGAAACCTCGTCGACAGCAGGGTAAACCCCACACTACCAATCTAAATGGTGCCAAGAGAGACCAGGGTACATCCACCTCACGCCTAAATCTGATCTGCGGTGGCCATGCGGAGTCTGGACCGTCCAATGACAAATCTGACTTGTCCCCATCAAGAAACTGCCAGAGTTCCAGGGAGGATCTCACCAAACATGTTCCCGCTCACATGCTGCGACACGCCAAGGGAAAAAACGCTTCAGGTGCCCAACGAGGGGAAAGCTTCCCCATGAAGGTTACACGTGCCACAGAGACCAACAACCTGGACAACCCTTTGCTGCATGAAGACTACAACAGGAGCTACAGCCCCATGGAGGGCAAAGAGTCCGAATATCACCGACACCACAATGCCAATGACAATCGAGGGTACGCCTCTGATCCCCCGTCTCCGCCTCGCTTCCAAGGCTACGTGCCAAGTCAGTCCGACAAACCCCCGGAGTATTCGGCATCAGCAGCCGACAGCCTTGCCAGACCCACCTCCCTCAACACTCAGCCAGGTCAAATCATCTTCTGCAGCTCCATCGACCAGATGAAGGAGAACATGTACCGCAGTATGGTGCCAACCCTGGTCATTCCTGCGCACTACATGCGCCTGCCCTCTGAGTTCTCTGGTAAAGACGGGAAGGACCAGAAGGAGCAAGACAGCGACGGTGCACAGATGGGAGGAGGCCAGCAGCATCATCACCACCACTCCCAGAAACAAGGCCAGCAGCAACAGCAGCAAAGCGGATCCCAGGGAGACGACTCTGAGGAGCCAAGCTGGGCCTCCGACTCCTCCGGCGGACCGGTGACCATCCCTGTGCTCTTCAACGACTCCACGATGGCTCAGATGAACGGAGAATTGCAGGCGCTGACTGAGAAGAAGCTACTGGAACTGGGTGTCAAGCAGCACCCACGGGCGTGGTTCATCTCCCTGGATGGACGAGCCAACGCTCATGTGCGCCACTCCTACATCGATGCTGGGAATGACCTCAGCGGCGGTGGATTTGGAGGTGGCTCCGGCAGCACTCAGCGAGACATCAACCTTGAACCATCTCTAGACGATCGAAAATCCGCACTGAACCGGAAGGGAAAAGATGAGCGCTGGGGAACCGGAGGGCGGAAGGGCCACGGAGTGAGCAGCACCGGTAAGAAGAGTTACTCCAAGCTGGCCTACCCCGACATCAGCGAGCCCAGCAGCAGCGAGGGACGCCCTGTCTCCCCCGAGGAGAACTCCCTCACCCCTCTTCTGGACGAAGGTCCGTCCTCTCGAGGATCCACCATCCCCAGGAGAGGACGCAGCCGTGTGAACAGCGGCCGCAGCAGCAACAGCGAGAACCGCCGCGACTCCATGACGAGCCCCGAGGACGACCCCGACGACAAAGACGAGAACAAGAAGAGCCCCTGGCAGAAGATTGAAGACAGGCCTCTCATGGTCTTCCACCCGAGGAAGTGAACCCACGAAACACTGGACCTTTAATAGTCTTTTGAAAGACAGTGACGTTTTCACCGAGAGAAATCACAATAAGCACAACCGAGCTTCACTGGTCTGTTTTCAGGTTGTGGTTTGACCTCTGTGTTTGTGGGGAGGTGAGAGCGCCTCCTGATTACAATCGTTGTCTCACTGTCAGTTAATCCCACTGGTCCCCACTGAGATGTGGACTGAAATCTAAAGTTTGATCCCGTCACCGCGTCACATCACTGAACCGTCGTCTGAGCCATCGCATTTACTGACTGTGGAAATAGCCATTTTATAGAGCAGCATATAAGAATAAAGCACTTACAAATAATTTGAGAATTGTTTGATTGGTATTTACAAAGTGTTTTCGAAGATGATGAGGTTTTTATAGGATTGGTGGGTAGTTCGATTTCCTTGCCTCATATTGACGGTAGAAGTTGTGAGTCTGTCTTTTCTTGACTACTCCTCCGTCGAAAATTGTAACTAGGGTAGGTTTTCTTTAGAGGACCCCCCCCCCCCCAAGTCTAAATAGGTGTTTAACCTATCAAAATAAATGTGTTGTTTTTTCTTTCTATCTTGAGCCGCTGTGAACGAATAACGCAAACGTGCGATTTGCATTTTTCGCTCCTCAACTTCCTCCTGTACTGTGTTCATGTGTCGTATTTACCTACTCAGATAGTAATGATTTGAAATGTTCAGCATCATCTTCAAGTCCCTCTTTCATCTTTCCCGTCAGTTTATCTACAACTCTGCCAAAAGTTTCTGCCTTTCTCCTGTTGTTAGAATTTTTCTTGCGATATCTTTTGTGTAAATAGTTTCCCAGACATTTGGAAGAACCGTTCAGTTTGGAAAAGTTGCATGCATATGAATGTATGAACTAATCAAAAGCCCCCCCCCCCACACCACGGTTCTTCGGGCACTTGCGTAGACGACCCCTAATTGCCAAGAAACGCCACCTGAAACGGACGTGGCGCAGCTAAAACATCGTTTTACTTGAAGAATGATCGACTTAATAATATTCTGCTGAGATCCACAGGGGTTGTGTGCAGACAGGGCCTGCACCACTTCTCTCCTGTAAGTGCCTTCTTTCACATAGGATCGAGTGATAGGCTTGCAGGCCCCTTTCTAAAATGCAGTGAGTCGTCGTCACCTAACTACGCTAACTACGCTGTGACTAATAATAAGCACACTGCACTGCATTGTGGTACTAACAACAACACTCGTCACTCTGGGGAGCATGCCTGCCAAAAACGGCGACTTTTCCTGCGGCTCTTACATCCTCGGATATCTTAATTTCTTATATCTATCCTCTTTTTCACCAAACTTGTAAATGGTATGATGAACTTTATGAGATTTTATGTGTATACAGTACCATGTGCATGTAACATGTAGAATAGGGTGTTTTTAATGAAACCTTTTTTGAAGACGTTCGGCACAAAGTGTGATGCGTTGAATCGTTGCCACATTAACAGATGTACACTTGACTTTTGTCCCTTAATCCAGTTCTCCTATAATTCACTTCCGGTCGTAAATGTTTACAACAATAACACACTGACCAACACACGCTCCCGCTGTTAACGAGCATCACCACCGCCGGCGATGCAGCGACAACTGTGAACTTACTCTTGTCATCATTTGTAGAAGCTCACGAGAGGTTTGTGTTCCGTTGCAGAGTTTGATTATGAAGTGATTATCTGAAGGTTGTGTTAAATTCACGCTGAGACTTCTTGTCACCACTCGCTTGCTGTTCATAAGCCTGTGTCAGTCCCCTACAGTACAAACATGTGACGTGAGTCTGGAGAAAAAGACGAATCCTACTGAAGTGTCGTGTCCTCTGCTGTAAATTTCTCTGGACCACATGTGGAATTAATATGAGTTGTGCAATCGTGGCTTTCCTCGCTATTGTTTCTGTTTGGCATGAGAGGTTTGTGTGTTTCTCAGTAGACTTTGTGAACTTGTGTTTGGACAGTTTCAGAGAGTTTTCATTCACTGCTGATTCACCGAAGAACTGACACATGAAACCTGGTTGTTTGTGGTACAGTGTTTCTGAGGGACTGAGCTGTAGGCGTTCACCCTGTGCAGTAAATCATCCGCTTCATGAACCCGGTCAGTTGTTTGTAAACTGTAAATCAATTCTTTCTGTTCATGAGACAAAGTAGAAATAAATTTGTTCCCACGGTCTGTCGGCCTCTGTCGTTTCATTCTGATGAGGAGAGACACATGTATTTAGAATCTATAAACTGAGAGATGGTGCTGCTGAGGGATAAAGTGTGTTATACACAAAGCTTTTACTACTTACTGTCATTTTAGTGGAATGGATTTTTTTCTTTTTTAATTGTATTTTAATAATGTATCTTTTTAATTAGTAAAACAAATTAGAGTCCAAACTAATATTGTAATAATAATATTAACATTAGTGCTTCGCTAAGTAAACAAGCCACACGTCTTTACACTGAAGTTCAATGTGTCTCTGTTTGATATGAATATAAATATATTTTTCAATAGCACTTCGGTCGATCAAGTGGTTTTAAATGTGCTAAATGAATAAAAGTGACACTGACCTTTAATAAACTCAATACTTTGATCACCTGTACACAGAGATCAGGTCCTGTCGCTTTAACAGGACGCGTCACGCTGCTTCCTGTCACGTGACTGTGTGTCATGTGATATCTGGACGTCTCCTCTTCCTCCTCCTCCTCCTCTTCCTCCTCTTCCTCCTCTTCTTCTTCTTCTTTTGTTTCTCTCTGGATTAAAACGTGAGTCACGCGCGTCGCTTCGCTTCGAGCTGCTCTGAACTTCCTGGTGAGAATCAAACTTCAGTTTCCTCCTCAGAGAAACAAACGACCCGCTGGAAGTCATTCAGAGCGGCTAGCTGCTCTGTTAGCCACCGAGCCTGCTATGCTAACTTAGCTTGTCTCGCAGTGGATTAGCTGCCCCCCCCCCCCCCCCCCCCCCCCTCACATTATATATAAACGTGTATTTGTGATGAATCGAACGAGTACAGTTTGTACTGACTGAGTATCTCTGGGTTTTTCTTCGGGTTCGCTGTGTGTTGTTGTTTTTCAGGATCATGCTGTGAGCTGCTCTCTGCTGACAACTACTCATCAACATGGTAAAGAATCACCACATACATGAACTGTGTTTAAAGTAGAATCACCACATACATGAACTGTGTTTAAAGTAGAATCACCACATACATGAACTGTGTTTA